TTACTTTCAAACCCCCATGAGGGCCGATGATTAAAAAGACAAATAACGGCTTATATTCTTTATTTTTAAAGACTTAATCCTTTGTTAATGGGTGTGGGTGTTGTTCCTGCAAGCATGTGTATATGCTAGGCACTTGCCTGGTAATCACAGATGCCAGAAGAGGGTGTTGAATCCCCTGGAACTGGGACATGGACCAGTGTCTCCTGGAACAGCCATCTCTTCAGACCCTTATTCGTATTTTTTAAGGGGGAAACCGAGGGTGTTTCTTGAGACAGGATCTCACTATGTAGCCTAACTAGCCTGGAACTATGTAGACTAGGCTGGTCTTGAATTCATGAGAGATCCACTTGCCTCTGCCTCGTAAGTTTTGGGATTAAAAGCATGTGCCACCACATGCTTTCTAATTCTTATTTTTAATTATATGTGAGCATGTGTATCTATGTTTATTAAAGCTTTAAAAGTTCTTATTTTGAATTATGTCCTGGGTTCAGAGTTAGAGGCGGTTGTGAGCTGCCTGGTGTGGGTTCAAGGAATCAATCAAGTCCTTTGCAAGAACAGAAAAAGCCCTTAAACCCTAAGTTCTTTCTTCAGCTTGGCATTATATCCTTATATAATGTATGTTTTATTGGAGGCCTGTGAAAACGGCTCATGCCCAAGCAAGTATGAGGACCCACATAAAAAAAACAACAGCATTGAGAGGGTGGTGGATGGAGACAGGTAGATCCCTAGAGCTCACTGGCCAGTTAGTGTAGGCGATCACTGAGCTCCAGGCGCAGTGAAAAGTCCTTGTCTCAAAAAAACAAACAAACAAAAAACAAAAACAAAAAAAAAAAAAAAAAACCCAAGGTGAAGGGACAGAGGAAGGCGGCATGCACACACAGGTGCACGCATACATATAACACTGTGGTGGTTTGAATGAGAAAAGTCCCTTACAGTCTCCAGCATTAGAAGACTCGGTCCCCAGTTGATGGCACTGTTTGAGAAGGCTTCCGAGGTGTGGTTTTGCTGCCAAAGTATTGGCTGGAGATGAGACTTGTGTCACTCCCAGTGTGCTCTCTGCTTCCCACTTGTGGTCCAAGGTGTGAATTCTCAGCTGTCCCTGCTGCCATGACTCCCTGCTGTGGTGGTGGTGGATCCTTATCCCGTTGGCATCGAAAGCCCCAATAAATTCTTTCTATTGTAAGTTGCCTTGGTCGTGGTGTTTTTTTTTTTTTTTAACAGCAACAGAAAAGTGGTTAATACACACGCGCCCCCCCACACACACTTTAAAATATATATTTTATTTAAAAATGCATTGCAAGGGACTGGAGAGATGTCTCAGTGGTTAACTCATACTGTTCTTGCAGAGAGCCTGGGTTCGATTAATTCCAGCGCCCATAGTGGAAGTCTCACAAATCTGTAACTCCAGCTCCAGGTGGATCTGGCCTCCTCTTCTGGCCTCTGCAGGCACCTGCATATAACACACAACACACACACACACACACACACACACACACACACACACACACACACACTCACCACACTCATCCTGTGATGGCTCTTCATGGTTGTCAGTGACTACATCTGGAATCAACTGAAACCCAAGTGTCTGGGTATACATGTGAAGAAATTCTTTATTAAATCTTTTGAAGTGGGAAGAACCACTTTTAGCCTGGATCTTAAATCTGAACCACACCTTCTGTCAGTCTTTACAGAACATGGGAGAAGGAAATGTTCTGCCTTTGCTTGCTTGCCCTCATCCATTCCTTCACTGGCGTAAGAACTACTTCTTTGGGATTCCAGCAAGTATTGAAGACTAGCTGAGACATCCAGCATCATGGACTGAGCAGCTACTGGAATCTTGGACCTTCTGTTGGTACACAGCCATGTTGGACTAGCTAGACATTGTTGGACTTAGCCTGTAAGCCATTCTAATAAATCCCATATATACACATGTATATATAGGTGTGTGTATTCTATAATATATATATATATATATATATGTGTGTGTATATATATATATATATATATTCTATCAGTTCTCAGTTCTATTCCTCTAGAAAACTTTAACACACACACAGTTAAAAATAATAAAAATAAATCTTAAAAATACATCATAAGCTCTATTTGTGTCCATGTATATTAGCATGTTATATTAGCATGTTATAACCCACATTGTAGTGTTTAATGACTGTCCTATATCCCATTTTTTTGGATTCTCATAGTTTTTGTAACTTAATTTCCCCCCTCATGTATTACTGTCAGCAAAAGCTGAGGACTGTGGCTGTCCTTGCGTCTTTGGACTTTACTCCCTTAGGTCATATCCCTGGGGTTAGAATAACTGCAGTAACACAGAACATGGCAGTTTGGAACCCTGAGATGGAGTGGCATCCAATTGTCTTACAAATTACATTCCAAGAGGATATTTGTGCCAAATTTCAACCACCCCAGGTATCATATTTCTTTATAATCTTCACCTACTGTGAAGGCAAAGAAGTATTTAAACACTTGCGGTTTTATCTGTAGTTTATGGCCGGCTTCGGCATATTTATTCCTCATTTGCATTTCCCTTTTATTACTAGTCTTTTGTAGCCATAGATCATTTCTATGGGACCGTGATCTTCTTACAAATGTGTGAGGGATAATTAAAAGGAGCCAGTAAACCATTCCTTTCATATACTTACAAAATATATTTTCCGGCCTTTTTTCTTCTGTTTTAGATAAGGTTTGACATTTTTCTAGAGTAAACGCTTTGAGTCATATCTTTAGTAGGTGCTATTGTTGATCCCTGCCCATATATTAAATGAGATAGATGGTGGTTTTCTATTTCCTATGTAGTGCCCGGTGACTCATGGTCAGGACGTGGGGTCCCATCCACATGAGTTACATTCTACAGCATGTGCACTGCTCCTCTCCAACCCTGGCTCCCCTAGTTCCCTAAGACGATGTTTTATGATTTCTTCATTTCTCACTCAGCCTCCTACATGTACATTTCACTTTCATCATATTACTAGGAACTCCTGGATTTAAGCCCGTCTTTGCCGGAAGCAGGGACTATCTTTGTGGCTAATTGAGAATACTCAACTTAAAATGCCTGATGCATTTGGGTACTAGGTTCTTCAGATGAAATTTAGGGATGTTAAGTAAAACAATGCAGTAAAGTGCATTGGGAGCAGAACCTCCACTCACTGAATTGCAGTTGAAGAATATACTCTTTCCTTTGGCATGGCGATCTCCGTGGGGGCGGGTTGCAGTTTGCTGCTTTATTTGTTTGTTTGTTTGGTGGTGGTGGTGGTGTAAACAGAGTTGCTCTTGGCTATCCTAGAACTCTATTTAGGCCAGGCTGATTTGAGCTCACAGAGATCCTCCTGCCTCTGCCTCCTGAGCATGGGGATAAAAAGCATTCACCTCCACAGTTTTAATGGCAACCAGCATCCAGCAATAATTACTTTCCTGAGAGTTCTATCCACCACTCACAGACATAGATCTAGATGCTGAGTGCAACAATGACTAGAACCTATTATAGCCCATTGTTACTGGCAGAAGAGACCAAAGGTCATGGATTTGTGTGTCATCTTCAAGTATACTGACCTGCATGTCTTCAGTTATCTCCAGGGCCTAGAGGGATGGTTCTACGTTAAGACCATGGGCTGCTCTTTCAGTCCCCAGCACTCATGTCTGGCAATGCACAACCTCCTGTCCTGTACCTCCAACTCTAGTACGTCTGACGCCCTCTTCTAGACTCAAAGGGCATCTACATTCACACCTGCACACAATAAGAAAATGATTAATATGCTTCATGAAAACTCCAAAATTAAACTCCTAGAGTCCTATTTCAATAACAGTATTGCTTAGGGACTGGAAAGATGGCTCAGTGCTTAAAGTATTTTTAATAATTGCAGAGGACCAGAGTTCTATTCCTGGTACCCAGTTATAGTGGCTCACACTGCCTGTAACTCCAACTCCATAAATCTGATGCTTCTGATCTCCATAGACATCTACACTCATGTGTGCATAACCACACACGCATGCGCAAACTTTATTTTTAATCTTTTTTTTTTAAAGACAGGGTTTTTCTGTGTATTCTTGGCTGCCTGGGAACTCACACTGTAGACCAGTAGGCCTACCAGTAGGCCCCTAACTCACAGGGATCTGCCTGCCTCTGCTTCCTGGGTGCTGGGTGCCCGGCTTTTTAGACAAACCTTAACGTATCACCCAACATGGTCAACTCTGGGAAAGGATATGATTTATCAGCTCCTTTGTTCATACGCCCCCTTGACTTGTGTATTTGATTTTGTTTATGGTTTGGAGGCATTATTTTTGGTAGTCAGTTTTGTGTGCAGGTGTCATGTGCATTGTTAGAGAAAACTTGAGGGTCATATTGATCTTTGATGAAAGTGCGTGGTTTTACTTCCTATCAACACTTGGCCTCCTTGCTTTTTTCTCACGTGGTGTGGACACACTTTTCTCCAAGTGGCTTTGTCTCTGAGGCGACAGTGGCTGCAGGTGGCTAGGCAGGGGCTCTGCCGCTCTCTGGGAGGGGCGCGGGCGCTGTGGGAACAGAGTCTGGAATGTGATGGAGGCCAAGAGGGTCGCGGGAACCGGTCCCTAGCTGCTGTGCTGCGCATGTGCAGTTCATCTTCATTGTTCGCTCCCGCGTCCCGCTGCGCGCGGAGGAAACGCTCAGATCCTCAGGGTCCACGCGCCGCACAGAGACCCGGTCCCCAGGACAAGCACGCCCACGGGTGAGAGACAATTTGAAGGGTTGCATTGCCAGACTCGGGGGCTGCTTGCGTTCAACACATGCGCGGGTCTTGGGGGGACCCTGATACTGACCCTGAGTGTGCTCCGCACTGGTGGTGGTGGGCTTCTCCAGGGGGAAGAGACTGAGCACGGGCTTGGTGGTCCGGATAAAGTAAGCCGAGGAAGGCATTTGGATGTCAGAGCCACCTGCTGGGGCTCTAAGCCCATAGCAACTGGCAAGTGACTTCCACCCCTTCATGGGATAAGTAGGAAGTCCGATGACACCTGTCAGGATGGTAGGACAAGGGCGGTGAGGGTTCTGTAGCTAAAAGGGCTGCTCTCAGAGTCTTAGCTCAAGTTCTAGCACTACTATGAGTCCCCACAGGCAAGAAGAGGTATCCAAGATTCAGTTTCCCCATCTGTACATGGAAGTTCTTCCCTGAACCTGCCTCTAGGGTGTTCTGGGCAGTGCCTGAGACAGGCTTTGGTGGGGATGGTGGCATTTGGTTAGGACCTGAAAGTGACCTGTCTTCCTTCTGCCCTGTTCATTAAGCCCTGGGTACCATTTGGCTCTGAAGGTCACTGTTACCATCCTGCAGCCGCGTTCTAACACAGAAGAAAGATTAATGTGGGGGGGGCGGGGTAAAGGGCGTATCTACGGAAGAGTTAGAATGCAACCCCAAATCATTTATTTCCAAATCGCAAGCTCGGTTCAATTTACTCTCTCTCTCTCTCTCTCTCTCTCTCTCTCTCTCTCTCTCTCTCTCTCTCTCTCTCTCTCTCGTGCTCCACATGGCTCCTCCCCTGAGCCCAGTAGACATGCCTAGAATGAGGAGCACTGGGTCTTCTAGGATAACCGGTTCAATTGAGGGCTCTGAGTGCTTCTGCCTGGGCCACCTGTCTGTGCCCAACACAGCTTGCAGACTACTAAGTTAGGCTTCCAACACTTTTCAAAGAGCCTGTGCCTGAATCAGTCACAGCACTCAGGCCCAACAGACTCTGGGGTCCTGATGTCTGCAGAGAGGGCTCTCGGTTTATCATTCTGTCCAGGTTGGGTGGTGTCTAGACATTCATTCATTCTGTGAACCACCATTGTAGGGAGCAGTGATTTAGAGAGGGGTGGGTGAGAGGGATGGAGAGGGAGGGAGAGAGGGAGAGGGAGAGAGAGAGAGTATCCAGTCAGGTTCAAAGTTCTCTGGCTCACAGCTCCTATGAGGAAAACGGGGGGGGGGGCACAGCAGGAGCAGGACTCCCCACGGGAGACCCCTGCCCTCGTGGGTGCAGTGCATCACAGCTACAGGGCAGAGGCCCAAGAAACAGGCCAAGGCCACACTCAGCTTTTGAAGCACTTGCTAAGCTGTCGGGAAGATCATCTCACTAGACTCTGGTCCAGTGACAGCAGCATAGGCCAGCTTCCAAGAGAGAGAAGGAGCTGAGCTCCGGAATAGAGGCGTCCTTGGGAGGATGGTGAAGGAACAAGGAGAGGGACTGTAGGCAGATGCACTGTCCCCTCCTCCTGGAAGCCCCTCCCACAGCCCTCTTGTCTTGCACAGGCAGAGCTAGGCTTCAGGGCCTGCCCACTCACACTTCAGGGGGCATGTCATTGTGCTTCCTAATTAGCAATCCTTACCTACATGGTTTCTGGGGACAGAGTGCCAGGATTTGAAACCTAGCCCTCCATAAGGATGGCTCTATCATTCCTCACCTCCATTTCCTCATGGAATAGCAGGTATCAGTCCCCCACATTGTAACTAGGCTGTTACCATCTGCCTGCATGTCACTTGCTAATGACCAAACCACAAGCAAACATCAATGAGACCCCCTGACTCCCAGGCCACAGGTCTCAGCTAAGTCAAGCCTTTTGAAACAAAATGAAACTCCTTTGGAGATACTGAAATTAAAGAACTAACTTATAGCACACTGTCCTTGTCAGCAGTTCCTATATGTTCCTTGAGTTGGGATTTCAGAGGCTTTGCTCTGCAGTTAAGAGCAGTTGTGGCTCTTGCAGAAGACCCGAGTTTGGCTCCCAGCACCACATTAAGCAGCTCACAGCCACCTACAACTTCAGCTCTAGGGAATCAGATATCATCTGGTCTCAGTGGGTCCTTGCACACATGTTCAAACACACACACATACACACACACACACACACACACACACAGAGAGAGAGAGAGAGAGAGAGAGAGAGAGAGAGAGAGAGAGTTTAAAAATATGTGATTGGAGTTATAGAGTTAAGGAGTTAAAACATATGCAGAAAAGGAAACCAACAGATAACTTATAACACCTTCATCAGTTACATGGTTTTACACATGCTAGGCTCAATGACCACAACTTGGGAAGAAGAGCCAAGTAAATCTCGGACTTTGAAACCAGCCTGGTCTACAGTGAGAGTTCCAGGCTAGCCAGGGCCACACAGTGAGACCTTGTCTCAAAGCAAAACAAAACCTGTAAGTATATTCAAAACATACAAAAGTAGGAAGCAGCATAGTAACTCCTGAGCATAGTACAGATTGAGTTAGGGAGAGACAGTTTTATTTAAGTCTGTCCACCCCCAACATGTACACAGGCATACATATATACACATGCACTTAAACCTACATCCATTCCTTTCTCCTTCCCACCTTCCTTTATAAGATTATCTTATAGTTTTGCAGGGTTTGTTTGAAGCAGGGACCTTCTGTGTAGCTCGGGCTGGTCTCAAATGCTGTATCCTCCTGCCTCTGTCTCCTGCATGCTGGGACCACCATGCTCGATATACTGCTACACCCTGTTCATAAGATTAAACCCCACACATGAAAACACATAAATGGCCTGAAGGCCTGAGTAGTTGCTCTAACCATTTGCTCAGCTGCCTCTTTCCCAGCCTGACTTCAAGCTGAGCATGTTTGTTTGCTATCAAATCCAAAGAGGCCATGGTCATTGTGAAAGGCCAACAGGAAGCCAGTGTTGGCTTTCCTGATGAAAAGCCACTTCTCTGAGCCCCAGGTAGTGATAAAAACCTCCTGAGCATTCATCTGAAGGGTCAGGGTGACATCGTGCCCCCGCCCCCCCCCCCCCCCGTGGTCACTTGTCAGCACAAACAAATGGATTTCTAGCGAGGCTCTGAGGACTTTGATGGTGACAGTATTTCTCATGGCTTCTGCCCCTTCCCTCTCCGCAGCCTCTGCAGCTCACCAGCTCCCCAGGAACAGATGGACATGAACGCAACCCAGGTGAATCACCAGCTTGTTTCTTTGCATCATTGGTAACCACACTTTCTTGTCAGTCATCTTTGCTCATCCGATCATGTCCTCACCTTCCTTGCGGCATGGCTTTACTGACTATTTCAGGGACTGTTTTCACGGGTGATGTCACATGGGCAGGCACGGCTCTCTTAGGTGTGGGTTTTACGGAAACTGTCTACACACTCTTCCTTTCCAGTGTATGTCTTCCCTTACGTGACACATATTTTAATCATTTGTAGCATACCTTCCACCTACTTAAACAATAATAATTTGAATAAACATTTCTGATCATCTTTGCATTCCTTCCTAGGGCGTAGAATGACAAAGTGGTAATAGTTGATCAGCTGTAATATTATTGGAAGGTTTACTTATTTATGTGTGTGGTGGGAGGAGTATATGCATGCCATGATGTTCACGTGGAGGTCAGAGGACAACTTGTGACCGTTCTTTTTTCACTCTCCAGGTCATGGGGATCAAATTCAGGCGGTCAGTCTTGGTGGCAAGCTCCCTTACCCATTGAGCCAGCATGCTGGCTCCATCTGTAGTATTGCGTATGATGTACAGTGTTCCAGCCACATTTAATTTCCCTCCCTGAATTAGTTTATATGAAGCCTGACAGCACTATTGATTGCATACTTTTAACCCTTTACACTGAGGGCTATAGACAGATCCGCTTTTCATGTGAAATAATCCCAAGGCCCCATCTTAGATGTTTGGTTAAGTGGAGATCACCTCAGGTCCAGGCTCTGAGAGCTAATTTTCATCTTTTTATGTTCTAGCTTTCCCACGTGCTAACCCTTTAAAATCTGAGTCTTTGTTCCTCCTACGACACTGGGAGCCATGCATCTTCCTTATCAACTCCAGCCCCGCTGGTGTGGACAAGGAGTTTGAGGAGCCCTTTGCTGGCCACTGGCGCTCATGGTGTGGCTGCTCCGGAGGAGCAGGTGTTCTGTTTACAATGGTTGATTTTATGGCATCATCCCAGATGGCCCCTGGGGGCGTGGCTTGCTTCCATCTCAACACCACTCCCTGCAGCAGCTGTCCTTCAGGGCCTCAGGTGTCCTTGGGCTTGGTACCCACGGTTCTGGCTCTGGCTCTATGTGAGATGGAAAGCATGTTGCCTGCACTCCGCGGAGTGCAACACTGCTAGCAGGCCAGCCTGTCTGCGTCCTTTGCCTGGAGATGGGTTCTGCTCTCTTTGCGAATCTGATCAGTTTGGATAGAGGCTGCGGTGCACATCGGACAGCGTGACTGCTACTCTGTACTCTGAGCCTGGGTGTCTGAAATGCCCGTGTTCTGCTCAGTCCCGTGAAGGAGGGAGTCTGGCCCCAAGCCCTCTGAGTACTGGGAGAAAGGCAGTGTACAGCATCGCCAGGCACAGGTGTGGCCCTTGTGACTCTGTAACTACTGTCACCTCCTCTTTCTCATTTGTCCTCTGGTGTCAGATACTTAACCAGGCCATGATGCCCGCTCATTTATTCTCCCTCCAGTCTGCCCTCACAGAGAGAAGCCCTGCCCCATCCTGAAGAGTCCCTAGTTCTCCCTGCATTCGCTTCTTCCTTCTCCTCTATCTGAGCCACCCTGAAATCCTGCCCAAGCCTCCCTCCCTCTGCCCACTGTCTGATCCCTTCACTTCCAATGCCTCATCCCCAGCTTCCATAAGAGGCTTCGTCACTGAGTACTCTGCTCTCACGCTTGCCCTGAGGGTGGTGTTTTCCTATTTCCCCAAATCCACAACAAAATGTTTATCGTTCCCAGGCTTTTCCTTTTCCTCACAGAAAACGGCCATCCTTACATCAACTTGGACACACTGATTTGAATGTTCAAACTCTCTTTACAAACTCTTTATTTCTTTATTTAATTGGGGGGAGTATTGCCACTATGCACAAATGAGGTCAGAGGGAGGTCTCGGGGTCAGCTCTTTCCTTCTACCACATGGTTCTGAGGACCCCACTCAGGTCCTCTGCTTCTCCAACCTCCGTGTTCTTTGTGGACAATTTTCTCTCAGCAGTTTGAAGGCTGCTGAAACAGGCCTGCTTTCTAAAATATGGGTTTGTCCCTCATCTCTCTCCATAGTCCAAACGTATCTTACACACTCAGGAACCCGCCTCCTTCCCTTCCCTTCCCTCCCTCCCTTCCCTCCCTCCTTCCCCTCCCTCCCTCTCTCCTTCCCCTCCCTCCCTCCTGATGCATTCTTTGGTTTGCTCAGTCCCATCTTATGTGGCCCCAGCACCAAGCCCACTAACTACCTTCAAAGCGTCTTTCTTTTTTCCTCTTCCCTGGTCAACTCTATGCAGACTCTGTCCCAGTGTCCTCATCCCTACTGCCAAGGCACTAAGGCTTGTTACCAGTCTGTTACCATAGATACCACTTTGTTACCACAGTCTCTAAGTCCTCATTGAAACCATTTCCTAACATGATTAACTCAGGGTAGGCTAATTCTTTGTTGTAGAGCGTTTACCTGTGTATATGGATTCAGCCACTAGGTGGCAGCAGCACTCGCTTAGTTTAGTGAGTGTGATGTCCACAGATGTTGCCAGATGCCCCCAAGGCAGCATCAACTGTGATGGAGAACCAGTTTCCTTCCTTCCTTCCTTCCTTCCTCCCTCCCTCCCTCTTTCCCTCCCTCTCTCTCTCCCTCCCTCCCTCTCTCTCTCTCAATTAAAAACGTATGTGGGTGTTTTGTCTGTATGCATGCCCAAGGAGGCCTGAAAGCACTGGACACCTGGACCTGAAATTAAAGACGCGTGAGCTACCACGTGGGTGCCAGACTCAAAGCCAGGTCATCTACAAGAGCAGCCAGTCACTCTCCAATATGCTTCTAGACTGTTGCTTTCAAAATATAAATCAAGTTGTGTTTGTTGAATTGACTATGTGTCTCCATTGTCCAGAGAGATGATCCCCAAGAAAGGCTATGGGCCCTGAGAAGTGAACAGGCCAGGCCAGAGGTGTGTTGGAAAAATACTGGAATAGCTGTTGCCTTTGGGTTTTTGGAGGGCTGTTGTTGTTGTTGTTGTTGTTGTTGTTGTGTTCCAAAAAATGAAGTTGTTGAGCTTTACTTTGGGGGATAGCTTGAGGGTTGTGTGCATACACTGAAGATTGCCAAGGGATGTGCCGATGGGAGCCATTGGCTTATGCAGGAAAAGTCCCACACCCCAACTGTTCTGGTCTCACCCAAGCCCCCAGCTTCCTCTCCACCCTTCCCATGATTCCTCTAATGTCAGCTGTATTTTCCATTACTCCCTAAGCCTTCACTCATGCTGCAGCCCCACACACGCAGCCGCACAGAGCCCGCTGTTCACAGGCAGCCAAACCCTGACCAAAAGCCTGGGAGATGGCTCAGAGGGTGAAGTGCCTGCTGTGCTTGAGGGCCCGAGTTCAGATCTCCAGCACCCGTGTTCAAAAGCCAGGCATGGTGACATACACCTGTAATACCAGCACTGGGGTGCAGAGGCAGGAGGATGGCAGCATGTGTGTGGGTGGAGGGTGCTCACTGGTGACATTCAGCTTTAATACCAGCACTGGGGTGCAGAGGCAGGAGGATGGCAGCATGTGTGTGGGTGGAGGGTACTCACTGGCCAGTTAGTACTGGGAAGACAACTCAGTGTGTAAACCCAACAGCTCCAGTTTCAATCCAGAAAACCCGTGTGACTTGGCACAAGCATCAGTAATCCCAGTGTGCTCCCTACCAGGAGACAGGAGGTGGCGACAGGAAACCACAAAGCTCCCAGCCAGCTGGCCTGGGGTGCAGGTCTCAAAATAGGTGGAGAGGTGAGGACAGAAATCCAAAGGCTGTCCTCTGGCCACACACACACACGTTGTGGCATGTGTGAGTCTGCACCTTCACACAGGAATGAGCATACATGCACATGAACTAACACATATCAGCATTCTCATACACAAACATACACACAGAGGCATACACACACACACACACACACACGGTAACATGTGAGCTAAAGAAATAAATACATCTCCCAGTGTTCATTGCTCCCGATGTCTATAGCATAGGAATTCTCAAGTCTGTAAAATCTTTAAAATGAACTCCCAGACTTATTCGTCGGAGTGTCCTCCACAGCCAGACCAGACACTGTTGCTGTAAGAATTAGTCTGTGGATTTGGCTTGCCTAGGGTTTCTATGCTGATTCCATTTCTCCTCCAAAGTTTAGCACACAGGAGCTGAGGTCATCTTCTGCTGGTTTCTGGTATTGCCATGGTAACCCATTCCTTAGGTAATCTCTTCTGTTACTCTGTGCTGACCCCTCCCACTGAGCCCTGCTGCTTTGTTGCAGGGACAAGTGTTGTTCAAAGATGTGTCTGTGGTCTTCACTCAGAAGGAGTGGCAGTTGCTGGATGCTGCCCAGAGGTGCCTGTACCGGGAGGTGATGCTGGAGACCTACAGGCACCTGCAAGCAGTGGGTAAGCCCCGCCTCCCACGCTGTTTCCGTTTCCGGCAGCTTGTATTTCTTACCTGAGAAGCCAAATCAGTGACAGGAGTAAAGTTTTAATCTTGGTGCTGGAAAGATGGTTTAGCACTTAAGAGTGCTTGCTGCTCCCACAGAGGAACTTGAGTTCGGTTCCCAGCACCCACACAGGGCAGTTCACAATCGCCTGGAGCTGTGGCTTCCCGGGGTCTGATGCTCTTTCTAGCTGCACTCATGTGAACAGTCTCTCACCAGATTCCTGCTCCTCTAGCTAAGGACTTAGCCACTGGCCTGAGCAGCGACAAGATAAACACTTGTGATGCCCCCCTCCCTCCCCTGGGGACTTAGCCCTGGCTTTGGTGAAACACACCACAGCCTCATCACGGTGTACCCTTCTGTCGGTCCTGAACTGCTTTGCCAAGCCTTGTCATCTTCCCATCGCAGGGTGCAATGTAACCAAACCTGAGCTGATATGCAAGCTGGAACGAGGAGAAGGTCCTTGGGAGCCTCCAGGTGGCAGCCTCTCAGGTGAGTTGATGTCAGATAGAAGGAAGAGGGCAGAGGTAAATGCTGAGGAGCCAGGGCAAGGCTTGGTTCCTTTTATCTGTGACTCAGGTGGTAGAGGGCTTGCTTAGCAAGTGCAGAGCCCTGGCTTCGATCCCCAGTATAGTATAAACGTGGAGGGCATCATGGCCCAGGCCTGTAATTCCAGCACAAAGACAGGAGGGTCAGAAGTTCAAGGCCAACTTGAACAAACAAACAAATAAACAACAAAAAAGAATGTCTTTGAGAGACTCTAGAATTTTCAAAGAGATAGAGAAGCGCTCACAGCCTGGTATTAACCCTGCAGGTACAAATGTTCTCTGTAGGCTGTGGGAGGTAGAGGCAGGTGGACCAGCCTGGCTTACCCAGAGAGTTCCAGGCCAACCATGGCTATGCATTAAGATGCTGTCTCAATCAATCAGTCACTCAATCAATCAACTATCACTTGTATTGCCTCCAGCGCCAAATGCTCTGGGTGTGTGTTGTGCATTCCTTCGCGTTTTCCTCTATTTGACATGTATTTGTTAAGTGCCTGCCAGGGGCCAGTCCCATTCTAGCATGGAGAACACAGAGGCACAATCTCAACTCCGTCAAGAGGTTCAGGTAGCAAATCTATGCAGGTGAAGGCCAGTATCTGTCAGGACTGGTAGATGTCAGATGATGAGAGGGAAATGGCCAGGATGCTTCCAGGAGGTCCTGAAGCTTCCCTGAGGAAATGAACATCTGCACAGATGTGCTGGGTGGAGTGGAGAGGTCTCCATCTGAGCCAGAGGAACAGCAGGTGCCAAGCCCCAGAGACAGGAGGTGTGCCTGTGTGGGAAGCAGCAACAATGAAGTTGGTGGGACTAAGAGTGGTGGATTCTGGTAAAGAAGATGGGTTTAGAGTTAGCCGGAGACTTAGCTGGGGGCGGTCACGGGCATACAGAAGAAATCCCACTGTATGAAGTGAGGTGATAGATGAGAAAACAGGTTATGGACGACACCTCGTGGCTGTGCTTGGAAATCAGGAATGCAGACTATAGTACCCTAGCAAGGGAGACATCAAAGGGCCACCCAATCCAGGATGGGAGATGGCAAAGGACCACCCATCTAGGAGGGGAGAGGGAACCAGAGAATAAACTCAGAAGCAAGGGGATAATGTTAAACGGAGGGGTGAATCCCAATACAAATGAAAGTGTAAAGTCTGCCATGGATCATAGCCATGAAGAAAATGAAATAAGCACCAGCTCCATTTGCAATGGAAGGTGAAGGCACCAGAAAGCAAATAATAATAATAATAATAATAATAATAATAATGTCTAAACACTTTCAAAAGCAATAAAAAAAATGATGCTTAGGAACCCTGCCTCAAAAATAAATAAATAAACAAATAAACCCAAGAGTTGATATAGAACCCTGCATGCAAGTGTACAGTAGAGTAGCACCTTGATTAATAGCTGTCAAAATTCAAAAGCAGCCAGTGTGCCCTTCAGGAGATGGATAAACAAACAGAGTAGAAACGGGCAGTGGAAAGAATCAGCTCCCAAAGCGAGCTATGAAGCTGTGGAAAATAGGTAAGCACCTTAAATGTGTATTCCCAAGTGATATGTGACAATCTAGGAAAGCAAAGCTATTAAGAGAGTAAAATAGGTCAGGTTTGGCGGTGCACACCTTTGATCCCAGTACTGCTAGGGCAGAGGCAAGAGGAACTCTGTGAGTTTGAGGCCAGGACAGCTAGGGATACATAGATGAGTGGCTCCTAACATTCTTAAGGCCCTGACCTTTTAAAACAGTACCTCATGTCGTGGTGACCTCCAACCATAAAATTATTTTCTTTGCTACTTCCTAACTATAAATTTGCTACTGTTATGAGTTGTAATGTAAGTATATGATATACAGGGTATCTGATATGTGACCTCCAGAGGGACTGAGACCCACAGGTTGAGAACCACTGATAAAGAGACTCCATCTCAAACCAAATAAAACGTATTGAGTAAGGAGATCGGTGGTAGCCAGGGACTGGGGCCGGTGTGCGACCAGGAGAGCACACAGGGCTGTCAGGGCAGTGAAACCGTTCTGTATATTTTATTATAATGGTGGACACCTGCCACTCTGCATCTGTCCCTTCCCACAGAAAGAAAATACAACAGAGAGTGTGAGACTCAGTAACTGAAGACTTTGGATAAACGCAATGGTGAAAATAGAACCACTTTGGGGAAGTGGTCTGTAGTTATAGTTAGAGAATGCCTTTTTGCTGTTGTTTGGTTGGTCGGTTGGGTTTCTGTTGCTGTGATTAAAATACCCTGACCGAAGCAATTCAAGGTCAGAAAGGTTTATTTCAGCTCACACTCAAGGTCTAGTCCTTCACAGCCGGGGAGTCATGGCAGAGGGAGCTTGAAGCAGCCGGTCACGTGACACCCACAGTCAGTCACTCATCCTAGTATTAACTCCTTTCCTCGTTTTATACAGTCCAGAATCAACACAGAGTCTACACTCCATGCCTCCCCATGACAACAGGCCCAGCCTAGCCCTGCCCTTCAGGCCTCAGAGGATAAGTGATTTCATGAGTGTTGCTTTGCAGGACGGAACAGAGAAGATGGGAAGCAGAGAGAGTGTCTTAGTGGCCCTCCTGCAGTGATCCCGTGTGAGGCTCCCTTGGGCTGCACATCTCTTGGGGGCCTTTCAGTCCTCCTGGGCTCACTGTTAGGTGTTTCCTGCCTTCACCTCATGTTTAATACCCTCCACCCATGGATGAGCCCTTTGTCTGACAGTCTTTTTTCCCAGTTATGTTTTATTTCAAGCTCTCTACCCATTCGGTGGTCATATTGTGACAAACCAAAGCTACTGATGTTATTTTCTTCATTCTCTCCCCCTTTCTACTCCAATGTGCATCTCTGCCTTTGTTTTCATATTACTCCATGAAAAGTCCAGATGAAATGTCTGCTTAGAATGGCAGCCTTCCCAGGAGAGTATGTCAGAAACCCCAGAATCAAGTTGGCATAGGCCATTTGTGCACACTCCCTTTCCTTTAACATTGTATTTAGGTGTATAATATATGGTTAACTTCTCATGTTTCTAGAAGTCTGGAGGGCCAACACCATGACAACAAGTGAAGAAAATGAAGACAAGTGTTTGAGTCAAGTCTCATTTGTCAACAACAAAGCACTAACTAAGAAAAGGGGCAAGGCTCTAAAAGAAATAGTTTATCTGGCCACAAACTCAGTGGCCTCAAGAGAAATGCACTGTAAGTGTTATTCAACTGAAACAAGCTTGGAAGATGTTGCAGGATTAATTCCTGATAACAGAAACTATGCAACAAAAAAGTTTGATGGTTTAGGTGAGTCTAAGTTCCTTGGTTCTAAGTATGAAAAAATTCATCTAGGATGCAAAACGTGTGAAAGTGATCAGAAAAAGAAACTCCACAGTCCTACAGAGGGCCTTACTCAACATCAAAAGACATCACATTTGGAGAAACTTCTTGAATATAAAAATTGTGGGAAGGCCTCACAGAGAAAGACAGCTTCTGTTATGCGCGAGACAGCTCACACAGGACAGGAGCCCTCTCAAGATGGTAAATGCATGCAGGCCACTGCCCACAAGCTCAGGTTCCAATCTTTTCTAAGAACCCTTAGGGAAAGGAAGGCACAAGAGGCCAGCAAAAGTGGAAAACCCCCATGTGGGAAGTCAAAAGATGAACATCTGAGAACTCACATAAGGGAAAAACACTGTGAATGTGTTATGCTGGAGAAACCCTTCAGTGAGACAGCGGATCTCACCAGACATGAGGAAATGCGACCAAGAGGAAAGCCTGACAAATGTGATGTCAGTGAGAAAGCCTTAAGAAACTCACCCCACATCCAAAATGAGAAAATTCATGTGGGAGAGATCTATGGCTGTAGGAAATGTGGGGGGACCCTTCACCCTAAGCCATGCCTGACTCAGAACCAGAGAACTTGCACAACAGAAAAACCCAAGTGTGCCGACAGCCAAACAGCCTTAAAGAAGTCATGTTCAACCCTAAATCAGAGAACTAGCACAAGAAAGAAAAACTGCAAAGGAAATGTGTGTGAGAAATCCCCAGCCTCCTTCCTCAAGGAATCGAAATGCACTCAGCATCAGAGACAGTCCTTGGAGGAGAAAGCTGATGGGTGTGAGGGAAGTGAGACATCACCCCTTGGTGAAAATCAGAGTGCGTGCAAAGAACAGAAAACCCATGAGTGCCGCCAGTGTGAGGAAGGCGGCACTAAGAAGGCAGGGCTTACCCCAGAACAGAGCACAAACCCAGGGAAAAAACCCTATGCATGCAATGAGTGTGACAAGTCCTTCCTGGTTAAGTCAAACCTCACTGAACACCAGAGAACTCATACTGGAGAAAAACCGTATGAGTGCAACGAATGTGGGAAGTCCTTCTGCCAAAAATCTGCCCTCAAGGTACACCAGAGAACTCACACGGGGGAGAAACCATACAAATGCAACGAATGTGGGAAAACCTTCTGTGTGAAATCCAACCTTACTCAACACCAAAGGACTCACACAGGAGAGAAGCCATACAAATGCAGTGAGTGCTGGAGGTCTTTCTGTGTCAAGTCCAACCTTGTTGTGCATCAGAGAACTCACACAGGAGAGAAACCCTACAAATGTCTAGAGTGCGGGAAAACCTTCTATGAGAAATCGGCCCTCACAAAGCATCAGCGGATCCACACGGGGGAAAAACCCTATGAATGCAACGAGTGTAAGAAAAGCTTCAGCCAGAGGTCAGCCCTTACCAAGCACCAGAGGAAAACACACAAGAAGAAAGCATCCACCAGCAATCTTCACGGACAGATAGCGCAAACAAGTGAAGCTCACTGAACGTCAACAGAATCCAAGAGCAGGGATGCTACTATGGCAACAAGTGTAGGAAAGAATTTGCTAACAGGTTATAAGTGGCAGAAACTAGAGGATTAATGTAGGACTGAAAGCATAAGAAGATTTCAAACACATGAATACTTTCAATAGGTATTTGATGTTGTTGAAGAAAAATACATATAATTTTAATGACTATGGAGGAAAATGTCCTTGTGGAAATATTGTCTAACTAGAAGTTATATTTCAGATGTGATGCGAAACTCATTACATGACAGATAACAGAGCGCCATCTGTTCTTAACGGAAAATGAGACACAGATCTTTCATAACAAGCGTAATTTAGGTTCCTGATTCAGTGGTAATAAACAGATGATTTTCTTCATCGCATTCTCTCCTTTGCTTCCTAGACGCTTATTTAATTTTTTCCATAATAAGGAGGACACTGACCCAGATAAAAGAACCAACGTGGAAAAGACCAAAAGCGAAGTATGGGAATCTAAGCAGCGGGAGTGACAAGATGCCAGGAACGCTAACGGAAGCAATCTCTGTGTTAAAGACGGGGGTCATTTAGTGCTGAACGAAAACTATGCCCAGGGACTGGCACAGTGGCTCAGTGGTAAACGCTCTTTCTACACAAGCCTGTTGACCTCGGTATGATTCCTGGAACCCATGTAAAGGTAGAATAAGAACTGGCTCCAGACAGTTGTTCTCTGACCCCAAGCATGCACTGTGGCACACACATGTTCACATACATATGCATACACACACACACACACACATAACACATACAATAAAATTTTAAACAACAACAAAACCCTAAATCTAACAACAGACAGTTTGTAAAAGAGAAGGAGAGGAAGAGAAGGGAGAAGAAAGAAATTAAAAGTGAGTTGAAAAGGGAATTTGAAAGTTAAAAGATAACAAATATATATATTTTTAAATCTATCCAATAAAGTGTGACTTTGTAATGGTGATTGTGTGATTATACGATTGAAATCAGCCTCTATCAAATTTTGTCTAGGGGGAAGGTGAACTTTTAAACATCCTGTATATGACCTGGGTGCAGGCCTTTAATGCCAGCACTTCAGAAGCAGAAGCAGGGAGATTGCTGTGAATCTGAGGCTATCCTGGTCTACAGAGTGAATTCCAGACCAATCAGGGCTATGTAGAGAGACTTTGTTACAAAACAAAACAGATCAGTAAGCCTGGTTTTAAGATTATAAGGACGATGAACAGGGTACCAAGAGTGGTTGCACCTTTAACCATTTGTCTGGACATGGTTTAGCAGAGGCTAAAGATGATAGATAAGGGGCTGGAGGGGTAGCTCAGCCGTTAAAGGCTAGGCTCACAACCATAAAAGATGATAGGAAAGGGACATGGAGCAATCCCTGGGTGGGAGAGACAGCACACATCTCCAGAGAAAGTTAAGACTGGGTTTCCTCAACCAGCCTCCACTGTGCTCACAGGCACCCAACATGATGGCTGTTTGTCCCATCTATTGATTTCTTCCTTTTCATATGGGTGCAGGAATGTTTGGCATGTGTGTGAGTACATGTATGGGAATGGGGATGCACATATGTGCCTATCCATGTGGAAGCCTGGGGTTAATGTCAGAATCTGAGATTGCTCTTCAATCTTACTCACCGAGACAAGGCCACTCAATCAAGCACAGGACTCACTGATGTGGCCAGTCTCTCTTGTCAGCTTGCTCAGAAAAACCATTGTCTCCTTTGGAGGTTGGGATTACAGCCCCTCCCCCACCCACATACTTGGCACATGAGTTCTGGGGGTCCGAGGCCAAGTCCTCCTCCTTAGACACTGAGTCTTTAACTGATAAACCATCTTCCTAGCCCCATAGCTGTGTGGCTCTATAGTTGTCTGAGAAATAAAAGTCTGGCTTTTAAAAGGAATAGACAAACTATGCACAGTGGCATCTCCTTCCCAGAGAGAAGAGAGGAAAGACCTAAGCCTGGGGAGCTCAGAGGCACTGGCCCCACCCACCACACATGTGCCTAGCGTGACTTCCCACCCCCTCAGAGAACTCGTCTGTCTTTGGGATTGTCTCCTCATCTGCCTCCTCCTCTTTCACACTAACCCTAAATGTGAGGCAGGCAGCACACAGAGCACGGGGCGGGAAGTGATGGCGAGGGTATGTCTTCTCCGTACAACCTTGGGCTGTCTCTGTCTGGTCTCCAGATCCTCTGGCCATGGTGCATAGAGCTCCCTGGCTCCAGGCACACACAGATGTTATGCGGGGTTTCTAAGAATGGGGTGGGGTGGGGACTTTGGGCACTGACTTGGGGCTTCAGCCCTTACTTCTCTGAGGCTATTTGGTGCTGCTATAACAAGAATACCCAAGTCTGGTTAGTTTACAGTGAAGACAACTTATTTCTTACACTTACGGAGGCAAGGTCCAAGACCAAGGGTCTAGAATCTGGTGAGGAACCTGTGTTTCATCTCCTAGCAGTGGACAGTAGAAGAGAGAATGAAGAGAGACAGGAGAAAGGAGAGGAAATGCAGCCCCAGAATTTTGTCTTTGGTGATAATCTAGCCCTTATTCCCAGGAATCTCCTCACCATCGCATTCAGATTAACTTTCCAACACAAGATTTTGGGGGACACAGTCAAACTCTATCGATGTTGGGTCCAGGAGTTGCACAAATACTGAGAAAGACGCCACCAAAGTTAGATGAGCAGAGTTGATTTATCCCATCACCGTGGAGTACCAGAACGTCTAACTAATTAGGGCCACAGGCCAGTCTGGATCAGATACTGTGACCCCAAACAGAGGGAGTAGGTCCTTTTTTAAAGTAAAAGCCACAAGTGTGTGAGGGGTAGTCAGGGGTAATATAAGAAAAATAATTTTTACTATTTGAGGTTAACTCCTCAAATAGTGTGGATGATGGCACATTCTGGGAACTTACAGCTTGTGACAACATTTTACAATTAGTAGAACAATTTGTGATAATAGGTGTTTGTACAAGCTTAACAAAGGGATTGTAACGGCTTTCTTTTTTACCCAAGTCTATGGTTAACACAGCTCTTGACACAGCTGGTGTCTTGTCTTAATTTTTAACCAATTATCCCCCTGTGACTGACAATATAGGGCAAGGGTCAAGCAATAGAAGAATCTGGGTAGGTGAGCTAATGTTCAGACTTACTCCGGGCCCTTCAGCAACCCTCTAGGCTGATGACACAGCTACATTGTCTATTACCTGCATCATCCATTATCTACCATCAAGACCCTCCTTGCTACATCTCCACTACACATAACTCATGAAACGATATAAATCAGCCAGTTTTCCTTTTCTTTTCCACGTCCCCTTTAAATGCTTACTGCTGCGCTCATTCTCCTCCTGGGCCCAGGATGAAGCCCCGGGAGCCACTGGGTTTAGGCAATAAATAACCAGCAATAAATGCCTGTCTGGGCAAGTGACTGCACAGGCGAGGGGCCAGCAGAAGTGTTGAGGAGTGCTGCCCCGGGGGAGTGAGTGATGGCTTCTTTAGTCCTTGGTGCATGTCTTTGAGTCCCTAGAGCGAACTGAGGACAAGGAACCTGAAGGACCATGAATCATATCCAGCTTGCTGAGGCTCGGATGATAGACCACCTCTCTCTCTCAGCAGTTAGCCATTTGGGGCACTAATAGAGCATGGCAGGCTCACCCCTGACCATCCTCTGAAGCTAAGTACCTTCCCAACACCCCAAAAAAGAAGGTGGGCTCCTTCAGAAAAATCAACCCTTCTGAGATCTACCTACAAGGCCTCCTGGGTCCTCACATCTAGTTTAACCTTCCCTGGGTGTGTCACCCTCCTGAGAAGTCCCAGGGAGACTCCTGTTACCACACCCCACCCTAGTACTTCTCCATCCACAGTCTCCCACAGCAAGCCTACACAGACAGGGCTTGGCCCAAGTCATCCTCTCCCGCCTCTCCAGATTCTAGAATAGGGACATTGAAAAGTAACAGTTCCCTAGATGTCCCCAACTTCTTCCATGAGCCCCTCCAGCCTACCTCTGGTCTTCCTTTCTGCCTCAGAGCCTAAGAAGGTGGCTTCTTCCAAAGCCCATTAAAAAACAGACTGGGGGGGGGGGAGGCTGTGGAGGTGAATTTGGGGCTGAGGGAAAACCGATCCTCAATCCCAAAGTCACCAATGACCACGATGTAGTTCTGAAGGTCTCAGTGGACCTCAGAGCCAAATGTAACTCCCAACACATGACTAAAGCAGCATCTAAATGAAGGAACTAAACTTGACTTTCCCAGAGGATGTTCCCACAATGCACAGCAGAGGGCTCTGGTCCCAAATGGGATGGCTGCAGTTTCCCTGGACTAAAAGCTCTCTAGCTGCCCACGCATTTCAGTACCCCTCCCCCCTTTCCATTAATCTATTATACAATGCTGAGGAAACAATTCTGGAGACTTACCCATGTCACTACACGGGTAATTACATTGTGAAGATTTACATTTTAATTACATACTGCTTTGTTCCTGCTTCTTTTTTTGTTTTTTGGTTTTTTTTTTTTTTCTTTCTTTCCCCTGAGGGATAACACATGCATCCCCAGGAGTCAATAACACCCTCAATGGGGCGAAACTACCCCACCCTGCAAAATCTTAGCTATCATATCAGCTCGTGCCACTCCAGAAGACCATGGTAGACTTAAAAATGCATGTGCAACACAGTAAACATATGTGCAACATGTCTGTGATATTATAATCCCACCTAAAAGGGGCCGATTAAGAAGAAATACCTAAGAAGGCTCTCTTGGGGAGCCACAATTCTAAAACTAAGTGTTGAGAAAGAGAGTAGATTAAGAAGAGATGACATCACTGCAGCACGTGGGAAGTTACGGATTTTTAACCAATTCTAGAATCTGGGGTATACCATGCTGCTGCCTAGCCCCAGTAATGGAGATTCTGTCATGGCTCAGTATGGATCCACCTAAAAAATAGAAACTCCAATGTTCCACTCTTATTGTCCCCAAGTGTCTTCTGGCTCCACCCACACTCCC